CTATGTTACAGCTCAGCCTTTCGTGCTATGCTATGCGTGGGCCGGTATTGCGTTAGCGTTACGTTGTGGAAATAATGGTCACGTGTCGGCAAAAGGTAGCTACATTGCCGTTATTTCAGTTACCTTATGTATAATAAGGTGTACAGTATGTGTCTGGCAACCTACCTACACTATCATGTCACACCGCAATCACCCTCCTCTGATAGTGAGTGATTTTCACACCTATTGTTGGGCTGAGTCGACGCCACCAACATTACCTCACGCCCGGGTGGCCGGTTGCATACCCTTCATTCGGGGGTGGGGTGTGGGGGTGGAGGGCAAGTTGACTCTCCTGATATCTCAAAAAAGATAGCTAGATACACCAAATTCACATGGTGGATTGGCCTGTATGTGACCTCACTTGTGTCCAAATGTGAGGTTCCCAGGTCATGACCTTGAGATTAAATAAGGGGAAACAAGTCAAACTCCAGATGGTGTCGCAAATGCCTCCAGACCTCCTCATGTAAACGCGGTGAAGTAACATCCCAGAGCAATGACCTTATGTGACCTTCAAAAAGTCAATGCAACATTATACTGCGTTCCTTGTTACTGACGAGTTCGAAATAATCATCACAAAATGCCTGAAAAACTAGCTTTTGAATAAAAAACAGATTAGTTTCGACATTGGTCTGACCTTCATACATGACCCCAGGTCAATGGAATTTGTTTTAATTCTTAATTCAATTGGCTTATTGCCTAAGAAACTATATCAGATATGCATGGCTTCGTCTAACACTCATTTTTCGCATCTCATTGGACGATTCCCCAGAAATGCCCTTCACTGACAGCCACGGGCTGAATTTGACATGCCATAGGTCAGTGAACTTATGAGGCACATCATATTTATTGCATAAAGATGTGCTGTCCAATTCTGTATATTCTGTATAATTAAGCAAAGTTTGGTACGGCTACGCTGCACCCTTCGGGAATCATTCTGAAAAAACCTTCGGGGGGCAGGGGGGTCAAGTTGCCGCCTCTCACCCGAGTGCGTGTAGATCCTTGACCCAGATGGGAGGGATGGGGGGGGTAAGGCGAGACGACACTTCCTAAAAGTTGACGACGACCTTTTCGGCTTATATTGGAATCGCGCCCGAATTTTCAGTGACCCCTAAGGAATTTACTGTGCATGTTTTGACTTTAAAGCGCGCATCTAGAGCACATTTCTGGGTAGTTTTTACCAGCAGTTGGCAGCGTTTTTTAGGAGCACTGGAAAATAAACTGGCACCTGCGCGGGCGCCGGGCGGCACCTGACAAATCAGCTGATTGCGGGCGGCGGGACGACACTGGTACATTAACGGAGCCATGCATCATCAAAAATTGCTAAAAATGTACCTCATCGCACATCGAAGTGTATACACAACCAAATAATGAACACGCATGCATGCGTTTCATGCTCTGAGGCGGAACAGGCTGGTAAACATGAGCATGCAAAGCTGAAATAGTTTGATTTTAGGACAAACTGGCATTCTAAGTGGTCTAAAGAGATCCGATATTGACCTGGGAACATTAAGCTTGTAATCAACCCGTGGATGTCAATGAGGCCAATTTGGGGATCTCAATAAGGTCTTGTTGTCCATTGCTGTCCATTGTTTGCCGGCGGAACTCTATGTCCCGTAGCTTGGAAACACGAAAGGAGTCGCATCAACTCCCGTTCCTGCTTATTCGCGTCATAAAAACGACGAATTCGGACCGGGGTTTATTCCTAATTTTGCTAAATTTCTTGAGCCGGAGTCAGATAAACAAACAAAATTCACCTAGCATTGAATGGGCTGGATATTTCAGAAATTGCAAGCGA